CTCAGCTCGTCTAGAGCTGCATTTCACCTCCTGTTTTTAATAGTCTCTAGTTCAAAATAAATGATTACTTTTTCATTTAATGGGGGAATAATAATTAACACATTCAGGTAAACACAAATCAAATGAACATTTTGAGAAATAGAAATGCTTTATGTTGGACAGCTCCAAGCAAACGGAGAGAGAAAGGCATTGGCCGCCATCTACGTACCTGAGTACGTGGTTTCGGCTGAAGTCCGGCTGTCTCTCCTGCAGGATCTCAAAGATGTTGGGTTGTCGAAGAAAAGCCACAATCTTGTCGTTGTAGGCTAAACAGACGAGGAACAAACAGGAGAGTTAAAAACAATGTTTTATCATCATCGGGTTCGCTCCAAAAGCTCTGTCCACTCTGCGCTGTGTGGCAAACCTTTTAGCAACTCTTAATTTACAAAGTTACTCAGTATAAAACCAGGGATTAGCTCCTGTAAGGAGGATGGAGCTTAGAAAAAGCAGCATAAAGGACCTTTAATGTTTTATATTTTAGCACAACTACCATCCTTAGTGAGGTTTAGAACAAAGCTAAAGCTAACTTCCCAAAGACAAAATGTTATTTAGTCTAAATCTGGTCGGTCCGTCATAGTCTGAATTACTCCAGAAATAGTTGTTGAGAATTGGGCTTTGTTTGGTCAGTCTGATTTTGTCCTACTTTAGTCGAATAACAAATGTTTTCAACTATTAAAAAATTACAGCTCTTCACTTTTAAACCAAATATAGACGTCGTTTGGATGTAAATCATGGTGTTGTTCAACCAATTTTTGCTCGGTGGAACACAGTGATCACTGCAGGATGAGGCTGAGCGTTGGTAGGATAAAAATAACTGAATACCGATAAAATAATCCGTCCAGTAAGAGAAAAGATCGGCATACTGACCCACAGGGACAACCTCCTGGCACTGCCCTCTGCTGGAGGAGGTGAAGGTGCTGGATGGGCGTGGCAAGACGGGAGGACCAGGATGACGCGTATCTTCACCCGCCTGATTAACCGAGAGCAAAAGAGAAAAACCTGGTGGGTTCTTGTGAGGTCCAGATTAACAAATAAACTTTTTTGCCTTTTTATTCCACTCTAGAACTTGGTAAATATTCATCCATATATGACTGCATCTCTGTATCACTTAGAAACAAGCCATATTTGACGCTAAAGGCAAAAGAAACAATAATTCTGGCTTTTCTTTAGTGGTAATTTTGTTTGTACTGTTTTTTTGGGGGGCTTGTCTGGGATTTACCACACGGTTCTGCACCATGCTGTTTGAGGTCTGAGGGAGCTCATTTCTTAAAGGCTAAAGACTTATATTTTTGGTAATTTTACTTTGAACAGATATGATGGACTCGGTCCACCGCCCTCTGTTGCTATGATGGTATGTATAAGAGATGCATTCAACTATAAAAACCCATAAGATGTTCCTCCATATGCCAAAGAAGGGTGAGAAATAGATACTCCTGCAGTCTTACCAGCTGCCGAGGGCTGACCTCCCCAGCGCTGTGGCTGCGCTGCCGGGTCAGGTGTCGGCGGTGAGCTAAAACGCTGGGCCGCGAGCTCTGAACGGGAAGGCGAGGATCGATGAAGGTCGTGGCACGGCAGTTATGGTCCACGAAGAAAGGCTGCATGTGCACAAAAATAAGACACCAGATCACAATCGAAACAGCTGTGGCGGATTCGCTCCTTGGTTTGACGGCTGCACCTTGCCGCTGTGGTCGTGCTTCATTTCCCAGCCTCTGGGCAGCTCCAGCTGTTTGTTGGCGAACATGTTGAGGAACGCCACCAGGTCGCGGTTGTGTTGGTAGCGCTCATAGTGGTGCGCGTCTCTGCGGACCTTACTGATCATGTGCTTCAGACAGGTGTTAGTGGTGAACATGCGGTAGGCACTCTGAGTTCACAGGTAGAAGAAGAAATAAAGAAATTATTAATCTGGAAAATATCCCCAATAAATGTACACGTATTTCATTCAATAGGGTTTCAGGAAATATGATGAGTTTGGAGAAACAGGAATTATTTGATCAATGCTACGCTAGTAGCTTAGCCTAAACACAGCATCTTTATTATCGATTTAATCAGAACCAGCTGGGTTATAACTGGACTGACTGGACCCGTTGGTTCTGTTTGAAGTGTTTACATACAGGGTTGGAATGCAGCACAGTGAAGAAGTCGGGGCTGGTGAGGAACTTGGCGCTGGGGGACTGAAGCAGCAGGGAGATCCGGGACCTGGCGCCAGCTGGAGCCGCGCTGTTCTCCCTCCGGAGCTCTGAGAGGTGGAAGAGGGCAAAATGTCAGCAAGAAAGGAGGCGTTCAGGCTGAAAAGGCGGGTTTTAAATCCGTCAC